CCTAAAAGCTTGCTGAGTTATTTTTAAGATGACTTAATTTCTCAGCCTAGTTTAGGGTTGGCTGCAGTAATGAATGGCATGCACAAGTGGGGCTTGGGAGTAGAGTGATGTGGGCAAAATCATCATAAAGCCAACAGAGACTGACAGTCATAAATTGAAGAACAGTATCTGGAGGGGTGTAACAGTACCCTCCAAAACCTTTATAGCCAAGATAATGACAGGCCGTAAAAAGAAGATGGCTATCATGCTATGGAAGTATTTTGAGCCACAGCAAATATGAACACCACCTGAATATAAGAAATCTGGGTATTTCAGTAATTTGAAAATACAAGTGAAAAACAACATTAAATTACAGTATAATCTAAAATATTCTTAATACCATTTAAAATTACTATAAATACATTAACTGAAACCAGAATTGTCTATAGTGATCATCCAGAAGCTGACCATGGGTGTAACAAATCCTTGCACTTGACTCAGTAACTTCCATACCAGAAGGAAACCTTTAAAAGAAGTGCATTTAGGAAAGCCACATTCATCTTTCAGAAAACATCAAATCCTTTTTAAAAGACTCAAAATTTAGACTATATTGCCACTTCTTGCTTGACCTGTTCCACAGCCCCCCAACCACATTCCATTCCTATAGTAAGTCCAGCTATTGAGTTTTCAGTCATCTGATCTTACTATAGTTTAGCTCAAAGTCACACCAAAACATGTAGTTGTATATTTTTCAGTAACTCTAACACAGATTCTAAAACTAATATTGATATTACTCATATTACCAGTCCATGTAATGCACACGGGTTTTCTGCTGCAAAAAGTTTGTAAAATGAGCTGGTATTCTTTTTAGTGTAGCAATCATTTCGGTTTTTTTCAATCTTTTCATTGATTTGCCGCAAGGAAAACACACACAAGGCGGACTTCAGAGAGCCGTCATCTTTGTTTACTTTGCTGAAGAGTGCAAGAAGAACTTTGTCATCTGAGGGAGTATCCACAGGTTGTCTCTGTTGAGCCATGCTCTCAGCCAGCTCTTTTCCTGGGGTAGTGACGAAAGCAGAATGACAGTGGTCATAGGCACCATCATCATCTTTGCAACCCAAGTCCATTTCAAAGTAGGAATAATAGTGGGCATCATCTTTGCACAGACGTGCAATCAGTGTGCGGTTATTGACAGGTTGTTTCTCTTTCTGATTGAAAATAAAATAAACATAATTTTTATCCTCAAAGACTGCCACAAATTGTTGTGTGCTTGATGAGTGAAAAGCTGACTTAACAGCTGCTGAGTCTGTATACATTTCAAAAATGTCTTTCCCATCCCTTTCATAAAGCTGCCGAGTGCTGATTATAATCCCATTATCATTAGGTCCGTTCCCTTTCCCAACAAATAGCACTTGGTCGTTATTCAAGGAAGTGATCAGTCCCACAGTTGATACATTCTCATCGTTGCTTGCTACAAAGGACTTTTCTCCACTAGTGTCTACGTAATACTTCTCATTGCTAATGTTTTGCAGATCTCTGATGGCACAGATTCCCTTAAAAAGGCTTCCACATACCACAGTTGTATTATCCGCCTTGTTCAGCAACAGTAATTTGTTATAATTGTCAGTCAGTACGGCCTCCTTACATTGATTTTCATCAATGGGAGGTGTGCACTTTTTGTTGTCCTTTCTTGGACCTGTTTCTACAGATCTTATTACTTCCAGGTTTTCTGTAAGCTGATACAAAGCATTTACCACTCCCAAATAGATTATCCCAGTGTCATTATCCACTGTTAGATGATTTAGCTCTGTAGCACTCTGAAAAAATTTCAGTTCCTCATTTCTGGATAAGGTAACGCAAAACCAGCTCAGAATGGTCAGTGTCCAGATCCATAAAGCCATTTCTGTGTAATACCTAAAAAGGGAAAAAAGCAATACCATGAAACATATTGAAAAATACAACTTACACAAAACTGAGAAATATGGAAGTTTTTTTCTCTCATGACTTTAGACACAAATAAACCTATTCTTGTGCAGGTGTAGCTTCAAATCCTGTTAATTGCTTAACAAGTTAATCTGTTGGGAAAGGATTTAACAAGGTCATATCTCTAAATGATTATCATATAACCAATTAGATAATCAATCCTGTGCTAAAGCACAATGAGAACAACAGCCAATTTGAAACAACATAAGAGTGCCAAGACGTAGTAGTGCTTCTCCAGATAGCATCATACTGTGCCAATATTTACTGCTGAAATTTTAAAAATAAGCTGGAGAATCCCAGTGTTTCGGGTAGCTCCTCCTTAAGGCGTGGGAGGGGGATTTACATAAAAGTGTTTGAAACATTTGGTGTTGCAGGACTTTCCCCAGAAAGGAAAAAAACCTTCCACTGAGAACAAGCAAATCTGAATCTGGCTGCTGATGCTCTTTGATCTTCATCAATGTTAAGCAGAAAAAGGGTAGAGACCTTAACATGCAACATTGCCTTTGACTGCTGGTATGTACCACAGTCCAACACTTCCATTCACCAGAGCACTGCCACTTAATAGTTTCAAATCTGTCTTAAGAAAATCACTTAAGAACTTTTTAGGATTAAGATTCTGTTACCTTTTTTTTTTTTCATTATTTTACTTCCCAAGCAGATGACCCGGCTGTTTGGAATTAGACAAAGACCTTCTGAAACTTGTAAGCAGAGGTCTCATTTTAATCTGAAAATTTAAATGAGGAAGCAAGTCCCAGCTGGCTTCCTAAGCACAGAACATTTTGTCAATATTTTCTCCAAGTGTTTAGTTCTGAGAGCAGAAAATGAAAAGTGGTATACTTGGACACACCGATGTTAGGGGGAAAGGATGAACAGCATTTGGAGGAAGAACTGAAAAATAAATACGATCCACTGCACTTTAATTTTCAAAGCTAGCCATAGAATTCCTTGATCTGATGAGTGAAGAACCTGTAAATTTATATGGAATGTCAAGTTAAATCTGAAAATATCTGAAAGTCTGAATAGAAAGAAAACAATAAAAACACAGAAAAGACAGGAGAAACATTTAACAAAACAATCTAACAGGCAAAAGACTTGTAGGAGAAGGAAAAGAGCATAAAATACCAAAATGAGAAACTGAAAAAATAAAATAAAACTTTAAAAATTAATAAAGAAGGAACCATGCTCCTGTGCCAGCCATAACTTCTGTTTTGGCTGGAGTAATAGATTCTGGTGGGATATGAAAGACAATGCTTGAATCATCATTTATACTGGATAACTAAGATTAAACATCAACAACCTGGATGCAAAAGTTCTAATGGGAGGGAAGGACTCTTGTGAGCACAAGCCATCTGTCAGCTCCCCAAACCAACTTTACATTGCCAGCAATGTGGAAAGACAATTCCTGATCTCCAGTATTGACTGTGTTTTGCTCCTCTATGGAGAAAATTCTTGTGCAATGGTGAGAACAACTTCCCTAAAAGCAGAGTGATTTGAAAACCCCAAAACCCTGCTAAATGTAACTCAGGACAATAATGAAGACTAAATAGAAGGCTAACTTCAATCTTGTTTTGCTGAAGCTCCTATCATGTCCCAAAATGGGTAGGTAACTAAAATAACGCCAAAGACAAGACAGTTCATCCGCAACAGCTGAAGCCTGACTTTCCAATGATAGATTGACCTCCTATGACAGTGACCCAGAAAAAGCTAAGAGTTATAATCCCTTCTTCAGACACGTAGACTTCAGTATATGCTTTGCAATGTAATGAAGTGTTGGATCTCTTTACAACAACACGAGACCTGCTCTAAGGAACCTAGAATTCTTCAGAATTCATCTCTTCTTTTCTTAATGGTCCCAAGGACTTCAATTTTCCAAACAAGCTTTGATCCCAGCTTACATCTCCATGGCTAAATGATACGTGATAATGCATGTAATCTAGATTCAAATATTATCCTTACTGTTTTCTGCAATGAAATAAAAAAACAGTTTGACATACTACTGTAATGTTGTTTCATAACAGTTTTATAATTCTATTATCTATTGCCAAAGGAACAAACGTAGAAGAATTGAGATTCATTTGTTCATGTTTTTCCCACAAAGTAATTATTTTTAGATTATTATAATCTCTGCTCTCAGTACAAAAAACCCCCCATAAATAGCTCTATTTACACAATATCCCTCAAATTAATCAAAAGTAATTTATTGTACCTAAACTTCTACATTCAGTTCACCTCCATGTTAACTTAATTCAGTGGATTGAAAAAAACCATTTTGTCCATTATTGGCAGCCAGGACACAAAGACTGCACTTGCAATACATCTGCCTTTGTCCTACAGGTGAAGACAAAGAGTCTTGCTGGTTCATGCCAGAGCCAGGATTTAAGGAAAAGTATGTTTCACACCTCTAAACTAGACTCTTAGAAGAGTAATTAATCTGTCTGCATAAAAATGGGTAATGTTTCCTCCCTACTATTTTCTGTCTTGTTTACTTTTAAAATTTTGGACTTAAATTATTCAGAACTACTACATGCACTCTCCATTAACTGCGCCTTATCTTTTTTGTTGTCTGTTTGTTTTAGTTATTTACTCCATGCCACCCTGTCTCATGCCAAACCATCAGGTTATCTCAGATCTCTATGCAAGGTAACAGTTCCTCATTCTCTATATTTATTAGTTTCACTTTCCACCTCCCCTTCAAAGCAAACAGTAAACAAAAATTTAATATGCTCTGAAAGATTCAGAATTAAACTCTCATTCATTTCTCAAATAGCAGGCTTAAGAAAAGAAAAAAGCAAACAGAATGAAATAAGAAGCACTACAACCACATCCCATTTTCACCTCATCTTAACTGAACTGGGAAACAGCCGCTGGAAGAATCCTGCTATGACCAGCTGATGTGGTAGGAATGACATTGCCGCTACCAACACAGATGCCCTACTGAATTAGGTGCTATGGGGATGTATCATGGAACAGTTTCCTGCCGTGAAAAACTTTCGTTTTAAATGAACAAGTCACAGAAACACAAGAGAAAAGGAGTAAGAAGCGTGAGCTGCAGTATGGAGTCCATGATGTTCTGCACAGGAAATATATTTCCAATGGCTTTAATCACATACTGTATTTACACACAGGCCTGAGTGGCTTACTCAAAGTCAACCCTTGGTCCTGAGAGCTGACATACACTCTCTACCCTCAATTTGCATTTAGTTTTAAGGCCTTGGCAGACTCAGGATAAAAGAAGACCAACAGAGCATTTGACCATATAATTTTTTCCTCTCTCTCAAGGTCTTGTCGCCATCCTGCCTCTTGTCCCCCACGCAGCTGCTTATGAGAAATATGAAATTTTAGAAGCTATGTGCAGGAAACACAGGGCACCCAGGAGAACTCTTCATACAGGGGAACTGCCATAAAGTGACACTGTCTTGGAATGACACAGCTACCAGAGCTCTGTCCCACAGCTAGATCAATTTCAATGTTAGTACCCATAACTTTATATCTTTCTACTCAAGCAAGACCAATAACCTTAAGTAACAGCCAATTCTTCAAAAGATATGCAGAAAAAAGGAGCATCTACAATCTACAAGCACAAAGTGAGCTTCAAAATGACTTCACATTATTATATACACCCCTAAAAATTAGCACTAGCAGCGTGCTGACATGAATGTGGCAGGTGTTTTCCTCCTTCACTGCACAATCATCTGTTGGATCCATATACAGGAACCTTCAATTTTCAGCCATCCCCAGTCACTTTAGCTTTCAATATATCTTTAGCTTCATGTTAATTAATTTCTTATATTTGTTTCAGCTGAAGTGAAATAGTACCAAATTTTGCCTGAAAATGGAATAAGTGAGAACTAAAACAAGAGTTATTCCTGAAAACAATGGACAAGAAAATTTTCAGTGAAGGAATAATCTCACCAGTTTAGCTTCTATGGTGTTTTTGCAGAGTATTTCTTCACTAACCACATATATTCTGGTCTAGAGACAAGTGTTTCTGCCAAACAAGGCAGATAACAATATGCTTTAACAGCAAGCAATACAAAGAACTGTGTTCTCCTTGAAACTTTCCCCTAATCAGGGAGACAGTGATCTTCCAAAAGATCCAAAAGACAAAGTGGAAAAAAATTGGCAAAAAGACTCAGAAATTGCAACACAAAAAGGTAAAATCCAAAGAATGCACCCAAATGGCATAGATATTTGGGGAAAGATGAATTAAATTTCTCTTTCCTCTCATTTTGAGTAACTTTTTAGCTTCCAATAGGTTTTCCACAGGTTGAAAAGAATTCAGCTTTCATTTTTAAGCTCAAAGGAATTCAGAACAGAAACTGGAGAATGTGTGAGAAGCAGGGGATGAGCAGATTTTCAGTCTGGATTTCAAAGTTTCTACTTCTGTGAGAACTGCAGGTAAATGTGAGCACTCTCTTCCCCAGTCCCAACTTTTATTACTATTTCCTAAAACAAATGAACAATGGAGCTCGCTGGTTTAGAGAATGAAATACCTGAAACAACTCTGCAGGATTCAAACCCATTTTCTAAGAGCATGGCAACATGCTAGAAAGGTTTTTGACAGAGAGCAACAACTTTCTTTGGTATACACTATGCCATACATCCAAAATTGGTTTAGTAGAACCACTGAGAATAGTGATTGCTGTGATGGTGTCCATCCCTTTATTTGTGACAGTTTGCTGTTAGCAAATGGGACCTGTGTGTCAGTAAACTGCGGGAGGTCATGCTGTGGGGAATGAGAAACCAATATCCACTTCATTAGATGTTGTGGTAGCCTGTACTGCTCAAAAGGAGTAATTTTCCTTCTCTTTCACTTCTCCTCAAAACACAGTTTGCTAAGATATATAGGGCGTCTTCGCACGGACAAACAATCCCATCTGGTCAAACTGCCGGTAAAGTGGCAAAAAATGGACAAATACTTTTAATACTGA